AAAAAACAAAACAAAACAAAACAAGAGCAACAATTAAAAACCCACTGTGGTTGGGCTAATTCCTACTCAACGCAGCCCTACACGATGGAGGGAGCTACCTCATGAGTTTCCAAGGCCGCAACATTTACAGGATCAGACGATCCCATCTTTCTCCACAAGCCTCTCTGTGGATGTGATGTGCTGACCTCTAGGCCAGCAGCTGCAGTGCTCAACCATGGCACGCCAGCATTCCACAGAGTCAACTTACAGGCTGCACTGAACAGCTTCTGCTGCTCAAAAGCCACCTTGCTATGCACACCCATGTTTATCGCGGCTTTGTTCACAATAGCAAAGAGCTGGAAACAACCCAAGTGCCCATCAACAAACAAATGGATAGAGAAGTTGTGGTATATTCACACAATGGAATACTATGCAGCAATGAAAACCAAGGAACTCACAAAACACTATGCAAAATGGGTGACCCTGAAGGACATTATGCTGAGAGAAATAGCTCAGTCACAAAAGGACAAATATTGCACAGGGCCACTGTTGTAAAACAGGACTGACATCAGGGTTGAGGGAAGGCAGAGAAGGAGGGGAGGAATGATGTATACTGCATTGAAACAGATGAGGGAGAGAACTGTTTAAAAAGGATATATAATTAGGTATTATTGTCATGACAGGAGTCGAGAACGAAGGCTGCACAGTGGAGTGGACTTGGGTGGAAGGGATTGCATAATAATGAGTTTTTCTTTTACTTTTCAAGGAGATGAGTGAATCAGGGGGGAGGCGTGGGTAGGGAGAAAAGTGCAATAATGAATGACTGGAAACCCTAAGTCTCTGTAAACTTTATTAAAATTAATAGAAAAAAGGTGGTATACTACAATTTAAAAAAAAGCCACCATGCTAAAAACACAACTGAAGTCATGGTAGCATGGCGTCTGTTGTCAGTGCTCTCGTGTGTCAAGGAGTCACAGTCTCATGTTCAACTGACCACATGTTGTACCCTTGTGGTGTTGTCTTCCTGACGGCTGATGTGCTTAGTCACACATCTGTGTATTGAATGCCTTCCCACCCAGGGGCCTCCCGCTCTAATCGTAGACTGGACACGACTCCGTTTTGATCCACACTGGCTAATTTTCAGAAACTGTCAAGTCTTCCCGGTCTGTCTCAGTCTGTAAGGTCCACGGGAAACCTGTCCATCGTGGGGGCTTGACAGGATTTTAAACACCAGCAACATAGCCTGGGTACCTACCATTCCAGCAGCAAGTCACACGGCCGGACAAATGAACTGGGGGGTGATCTGGTCAGTGTCAGGCCTAACCCAGTACACTGGTTTACTTGCAATCTCTGCCACAATAAGAATTTCGCCTTTTTCATTTAATAAATGTTTGCAGAATAAAGAAATACAAGGATTTTTTTTTAATTTTTTTTTTTTGCTGGTGACAGTATTCCTTTCTTAAAAAAAAAACAAAAACAACAGAGTAATGGGTTTTTTTTTAAAAAAATATACATATTTTTGTGTGTGTGTGTACCATCAAATCGGATCTGACTTGTACAGGAGGAGATTGTCCCTCCTTCCTCGGCAGAGCATCTGGTGGATTTGAACTATATGTCTCTGGGATTGCAGTGCAGCTTCTAGCCACTAGGCCACCAGTTGTTGTTGTTGTTTGGTGCTGTCGAGTCATAGACGACTCATAGTGACCCTATGAACGAACGGCCTGAGCACTGTTCCTACATAGAGTTTCCAGAGGTAAGCCATTTCGGAAATGGATGCCGCTCCTGCTTCCAGGCTTGTGTTTTGTTTTTTTAATTATTATTATTATTATTAAATTTTATTAGTTTTAATGAACATTTACAGGGATTTTGGGTTTTCATTCCTTCACTGCTGCACCATTCTCTCCACCCTCCTCCCCAGTTCGTTCTTCTTCCCCTGCCATCCGAATGTCTGTTTTAATTGTCCAATTGCCACAGTGCTTGTCAAAGTCAGTTCTGATTAATCTCCTTTGTCAGTGTGTCCTTTGCCATTCCCTATCACTCCTCCCTGAGAGAGACTTCACCCTGATTCATAAGGAAAAAGGGATGGCGTATTCTCTTAGCTACTTCTTGCTGAAAAGGGACGCTGTGGGTTTTAGGGTGAAGATCTTCTCTCACTACTCTAAAGGGCCCCTTTGGCAGTAGGAAACACATAGACTATTATGGAGATTGATTTTGGAATTTAGATGCACTGTTATTGATTGTGATTAGCCGTACATGTTCATATCCTTGAAGATGTATCATGGGGGTGTTGCAACCTAGAAGACACAAATTTTAACTAACAAGTTATAAGTACATGAGTCAAAAATTATGGAAAAGTAAAAGAAAAGATTCTTTCGTTGTTTTATCCAGGCTTGTTTTAGTCGGAAGCTCCAGCCAACACTGTCCACCATGGGTAACTTTTTTACCAGGATAACTTTTTTGAAGAACATTTTTATGGTGGTGAAAAAGAGAATTTTTCTTAAATAGTCTACAATCTGGCATGTTCCTTTATTGTTACAAATGTACAAATTCCTGGTAACTCATTGTTCATCCCAGCACTATTCACAATAGCCAAAAGTCAAGAACAGCTCGAGTGTCCATATAGACACAATGTGGTCCATCCATTCACACAAAAATAAGGAATATAATTCAGCCCAAAAGAGACACGAAGTCCAGATACCCGCTTCCACACAGGTGGACCTTGGAAACATGATGTTGAGTGAAGCGGGTCAGTCACAAGAGGACAAATATCGCACAACGCTCACACCGAGTTAACAAGTATAGAGGGACCAATGTTGAGTCCTGCTTACAGGGTGGGGAGCAAAGCCTCACAGACTACCAGTGACACTGGTTGTTCAATAGGAACACTGTCAATGCCACTGAATTGGACATGTAAAAAATTGATAAATTGTTAATGAGCATATTTTCATCATTTTTTTTTAAAGTAAATTTCAAGATGCCTCAAATCCAAACACAGAAAAGCAAGACTTCTGGGAATGGGGTCAAATGAAGGAGTTGATTTCTGGGTTTGAAATGACTCCTCACTGAGTTCAACCAATGAAAGGGCCACAGACAGATGCTGTTCTGACCCCGTGTGCGAGTCAGGGTCTCTATGGGTCCCCGGGTGGTGGAAAGGATTAAGTGCTCTATGACTAGCTGAAAGGCTGGCAGTTCAAGACCACTTAGAGGGGTCCCAAGAGCCCTGAAGGTGGTGGTGTGTGTTCCCTGCTACGTGTTTGGTCGCTGACATTTTTATTGTGGTAATTTGAGCCCTCTGGCCTTTCCACAAGGGAAGGCTGATGCCTTCAGAAAAAGAACAAAGCTGCCGTGTGCTGGACCAGCTGAACCAGCTGTGTGTGGGTTTTGTGGGATTTGGGGTTTCTCAAAAAGAAAGGCTTGGTGATATGCTTCTTGGAGATGACAGCCTTGAAGATTCTGAGGAAACCAGGAGTCAGAATCGGCTGGGGGTGTGGCACGGCGGTAACCATCAGAGAGTTTGCTGGCTCAGCCCCTCCTCTCTCACTTCTGGGGACAATGGAGCCCTCCCTCCCCATTCCCAGCCGTCCACCGGCTGCCCCGGGGACTTACTGCCTCCTCGGATGTTGATGATCAGGCTCCCGTTGATCACAGTGCACCCTCGGAGCTCCTGAGCGGACGTCACAGAATCAATGGTCTTCTCGCCCTCCAGGATGTGACAGACTTTGGGGCAGGGTCCCAGGCACGGGGTGCACATGAGGCTGGAGAGAGAGTCAAAGGGGTCAGGATGGGCACGGAGCTGTGCACACAGAATCCCCAGCCCAGCTCTGCAGGCAGCAGGCAGCGTGGAGTCCAAGGGACAGGACTCACGCTGTGGCCTCAGGCAGCTCTCTCAGCTGCAGTAGCGATGCCACTGAAGCTGGCATGTGCTTTCTGTGGGCGACCTCCACTGCAGGGCTGGGTATTAAGCACCATCCTTGGTCTCCACTTCCCTGAAGCCAACTTGGTCTCCACTCCCCTGAAGCCAGCAGCACAAACCCCCTTCCCAATATGTGACAATCACCAATGTCCTCAGATACTGCCAGTGTCCCTGGGGGGTGCAGGTCACTCCTGAGGGAGAATCACCACCCTAAAGACTCTTTTTAAGCACCACCCCTTGGTAAGGGTCTTCCAGCATTACCGACACCAGGGCTCACACTTTGATCACAAATGACAAGACCCAGATAAACACCGCGTGATCCAAGCACAGAGTACTACTGCTCAGTCACTGAGAGGCATGAAGTCACATGCGTGCCAGTCTGTAGATGAGCCTGGAAGACACCACGCCGAGCGAAAGAAGAAACCACTGTTGGTGGTGGTTGTGTGCTATCAAGATGGGAGCAACTCACAACTCACGTTCCAGCGGGTTTGTTTTCAGATACTAGAAATCACACAGGAGGAAACTGACCTTCTTTCTCCTGTGGAGCAGCTAGTGGATTCGAACCACCTGCCTTTGGGTTGGAAGCACAACTCCTCACCACTAGGCTCTCAGAGCTCCCCAAGAACCACCTGTTGTTGTTATGTGCCATCGAGTCAACTACGACTCCCAGCAAGTCTATGAACAATGGCTCTGAACCTTGTCCCTTCCTAAGCCAACCTCACCGTCTCTGACACACGTGACCCCACTGCAACTGTCACGGTGTCAACTCACCTCATCCGGGGCCTTCCTCTTCCACACTGACCCCCTACTCTTCCTAGCAAGCTGTCCTTTTCCAAAGATTGGTAAATGAACAATAGCACCAGAGAGGCACACAGCCCTTTGAACGTCCAACTACACAGGACACAAGGGCCGCATCTGTCTAAAACTCGGAGGTGAGACGGAAGGGGAAGGAGGGAGCAATGGCAGCAGGAGCCACAAGGTGGGGACAGTGCTGGCCAATGTGGGCACTGCCAGCAGCGTCACGTTGTTGGTTGCTGTTAGGTACCGTCCAGGTGATGAGGGCTCAGCAACCCCATAAACAAAGGTTCTGAATCTTACCCTATCCTATGGCATCCTACTTACCTCTGTATGTTGTTATTGTTGTTGTTTGTGTATGTGTGTGTGTGTGTGTATTTGTATGTATGTATATATATGTATGTATATATTTATATCTATATCCATTATCTATATCCATATCATCTATATCTGTCTATATCTATATCCATATCTATATCATCTATATCTATATTCATATCCATATCATCTATCTCTATCTCTCTATATCATCTACATCTATATCTAATCTATACCTATATTTATATCTTTATCTGCCATTTCCAGGCTGGGAAGATGAGCAGAACAGCCAGATTCTGCAAAGGTGTATTTTCTGGTTTGGGGTTGTGCAGTTGAGACCGGCGTGTGGCTATTGATCGCATTAGGGTGTAAAGCTGACTGGATTTGGCCTCGTATTTAAAAAGGCTTTTGGCAGCCTGGTTTTTTGTGGATCTCCCAAATTAAACAGGCTTGGAAGCAGGAGTGACATCCACTTCCAGAAAAGTTTGCCTCCAGAAACTCTATGAACTTGGAGAATAGATGAAAGTTTTGTGTTTAAGACTTTTGTTCGTAGAGTCACTATGGGTCATCTATGACTCTACGGCACTTAACAACAACAATGACCACATATAAATGTATGTTGTAAGGAGAGACTAGTCCTTGGAAAGGATGTCATAGTTGGGAAGGTGGAGGGACAGTGCAAAAGAGGAAGACCCTCGATGAGATTAACTGATTCAGAGACTGGGGTAATGGGGTACGTGTGTCAGAGGCAACAAGATTTTCACAGGACACAGTAGGGTTTAGGGCTGTTGTACACAGGGTCACTATGAGTCGCAGGCGACTCAAGAGTAAATAGCAACAACAAAAACATATATGTATGTGTATATATATATATATATATATATATATATATGCCTTTGAGCTGTGGTGCTGGAGGGAGTTTTTCTTTTGCTTTTCAGGGAGAGGAGCAAACGGGGGGGAGGGGTTTGTGCAGAGAGAAGGGTGCAACAATGAATGAATGGAATCCTAAAATCTCTGTAGATGTTCATTGAAATGAAAAATAAACAACCTGAATTTTTTAAAAAAAAGAGTATTGAGTGTACCATGGACTGCTAGAAAAACAAACAGATTCATCCTGGAAAGGGTTAAACAGGCAGCTCCTTGGAGGCAAGGATTCTGAGGCTCCGTCTAACATACTTTGGACTTGTTGTAAGGAGGGACAGGTCTTTGGAGAGGGACATCATGCTTGAGAGAGTGGAGGGACAGCGCAGGAGGGGAAGACCCTCTATGAGGTGGATTGGTTCAGTGACTGGGGTGATCGGGATGGGTGTGTCAGAGACAGTGTGATTGCCACAGGATAGAGCAGGGTTTAGGGCTGTTGTACATAGGGTCGCTATGAGTCGCAAGCGACTCAACGGCACATAACAACAACAACATATGTATATATGTATGTATATATGTATGTATATATATATGTGTGTTTATATATGCATGTGTATATATATGTGTGTAGATAGATGGTTGAACGGAATACCAATCTGCTCAAATCATAATATCATAATAATAATAACTAACTTGAACCTACTCCGGTGACCTAGGGGAAAGAAGCTGCACTAAGTTCGAATCCACCAGCTGCTCCATGGGAGAAGGATAGGCAAACTCCTCCCGTTTGATGAACTATCTCTGAAAATCCACCGGAGTGTAAGCTAGAGGTTGGTTGTAACTCAACAATACACAACAACAATGTCTTTATAGGCTTTTCCCCCTTAAAAAAACAACAGATGGTACCTAACAGTAACAACAACCACCCCAGCGACTCTGTCAGCAGAACAGACGTGGGGAGGTGGGTGGTAGCATACCCAGGAGCACGCTCAGGCTTGTCAGAGGACACTTCAGTATTTGTATTGGCATGAGCCACAGACATCCCCAAGGATCGTGCAGTGCACACAGGGAGCAAAGTTCTGAAAACGTCTTAGCCAAAACCAAACTTCCTGGGACAATGATTCACTGGGCCCGGAGACTTAGGACCACAGCCTGGGGGGGTGGGGATCGGGGGCAGTGTATTGGTCACCTGGCATAAAATAGCCCACAGATGTTCTACATTTTACTTTGGAGTAAAATAACGAGGGTCTTGTAAGCTTGTGACCAGTCCTCGGAGATGTAACTAGTGGCCTCTCCTCATCCAGTGCTAAGAAGCATGAAAAAACTCAAATGCTTTAGGTAAAAATTAGGGCAAAGGATTGGTGGTGCCAGGCGAACCACAGCCTCTGCTGAGACCGAGAGAACTAGCTGGTGCCCGGCTCCCACTGCTGATTGCTCCAGTCAGGATCACGTGAGCAGGTCCTCACCAAAGTGGGCAGAAAAGGTGGAGCAATATTCAAAATCATACATAAGTCCAGTGGTATGAGACTAACAGAGAGTAGAGGAACCCCAAGAATATGACCCTTAGTTACCCATCAACCTGTACCTGAACCACCTCCAAGGATCACCTTTCATCCAGACAAGAGCACGCCTTTCAGAGTGAACAATAACACCCTAAAGACTGCTTCTCCAGCAAACTAACATCAGAGACTCAAAGGGCAGCATTTGCCCAAAGCAAAAGGTCGCAAGGAAGGAAGAGGCAGGGTAGAAGGACGAAGGGCCTTGGGGTATCCAGGGAGGAAGCGGAAAGGGGGACCACAGTCAAGGTCATGAAACAAAATGTGTACAGAGCACTGAATGGAAAACTAATTTCCTCTGCAAACTTTCACCCAAACCGCAATAAAAATAAAATAAAAAAAGTTAAAATTAAGCTAATGTCTGCTGTTGGCTGCACCACCACTACAGCACGAAAGCTGAGGTCTGCTGGACCCGCGTCTCCCCAGCAGACGTCACGGGCCATTCTTCATTTCAAACATGAGAAAAACAGAAACATTCAAATCCAAAGGAAGAGAATAATTTTCCTGACCTCACTGATAAACTAGCAAAATATAGTTCCATCTGGCAGGCAAAGGTGATTTACAGAGGCCTATTTTTAGCCAACAAAGTAGCCAGGTCAGTTTTATTTTAAAAAAATAAATAAATAAATAAACAAACACAAAATCAAGGGAAACAAAGTATCTCGTGCTCACAGGCTCTGAAAATGATGGAAGAAGGCTTCCTAGAGACTCAAAATCAAAGCTGCTTGTCCTTCCACACTCCCCTCCTAGAGAAAGACAGTTTCCCTCCAGGGCCCACTGGCCCGGCTCATTCTCAGGCTCAGGGTGGAAGGCCTCCACGTCAGCAGACCCGCAGGCCCCTGGACCTGGGTCTGTTTCTGATTCCTTCGGTGTTACTTTGTTTTTGTTCAGACTCCCAACACAAAAGCCAGGAAACACATTTTTGAGACTTGGTTGGGACCCCAGACACCCTGAAATAGCTCCTCTGAGGAAGAGTCATCATCGCAGGTGTGCACCAGAGGTCACGCCCCCGAGGCGGGCAGGCTGCAGCCTCTCACCCAGATGGTGGGAACGTGCTGAGGACCCGTCCTTCAAAACACAAGGCTCGGGAGGGCTCCGGCAGGGCGGCCTGCTGGCCTCCTGAGACGGGCTAGCGCACTGGGGGGAAACGTCGAAGATGAGGGCAGTCCAGTGTGAGCGGGAAAGTCAGGGAAAGCAGAAGCTTTTCTTTTTTTTTTTGGTGATTTTTTTTTATTAATTTAGTTTGCTTATTTTTCATTTCAATGAACATCTACAGAGATTTTGGAATTCCATTCATTCTATCTTAACCACAGCAAGTTTGGGGGTGGGTGCACAGCGTGGTGGGGCCTTCTCTCTGTGCCCCATACGGGCAAAGGCAGCTTGTCTCACCTGGAACTGATACTGAGCCCCACCCCCACCCCGGCCACCCCCGGGGACACTGGTGGCAGAATATCCAGTGACATCTGTAGCTTGTCACAACCTTAGAGGAGGGCATGGGACACAGGGCACAGGATGGACCCCACTACGGAGAGGTCTTTCACCCCAAATGCTGACAGTGAAGTGGAGAGTGTGTGAGAGTGAGAGTGTGTGTGTGTGTGTGTGTGTGTGTGTGTGTGTGTAGCTGTGTTTGTGTTCTGTCTCTGCACATATAGTTGTGGTTGTTGTTGTGCACCATCAAGTGGGAACCAACTCATAGCTGACTCTCCACTGGGTTTTCAGAGGCTGTAAATCGCACGGGAGTTGAATGCTCATCTTTCTTCCAGCCCAGCAGGTGGAATCAAACCGTGCACCTTTGCAATGGCAGCATAAATTGGACCAATTCTCACTGGGTTGGCAGGTGTAAATTAAAGAACCCTCAGACCCCACTGAGACACCCCCCCCCCACCTCCACTCAGTGCGCGTCATTCCACAGTGCCGAGGGCTCCATGGATTCCTTAAGCCCCGCAGGTTTCAGCTGGGGTCAACGTGGTGCCACCTCAGGGACCACTGGGTTATGGTCATAGATACTTGTGGGTTGTGTGTCTTGTGTGTCTTTGTGTTTCTGTGATTCATGAGGTTTTAGAAACATCTGTCTTGAAGGAAGTACAACCGGAGTGCTCTTTAGAGGCAAGGATGGGGAAACTTCAGCTCATGTACTTTGGATAGATTTTTCAAGAGGAACAAATAAATCCTTGGAGAAAAACATCGTGATGGAAAAGGTAGACGGAAGACCAAGCAAAGAGCGCACTCTCAAAGACGTGGATTAATACAGAGACTAACACGGTGACCTTGAGCGTGACCGGGACCATGAGGAGACAGGGCAGGGCAAGGTTCAGGTCTATTCACGGGGTTGTAAGGAGTCGTAGTCAACCCGACAGCACCTGTCTACAACATATCATGTCTCTAAAGGGGGTGAAAGTGGCACTGAGTGAGTAGCGGCCAGAGATGGTTCCAACCTGATTGCTGAGAGTGAGGGGTTTTTGAGGGTTGGTTTTAGGGGGGACATCAGCAGAGTTGAGTGGTTGCAACAGAGGCCCCATGCCCCCCCAAAGCTAGCTTCTCGGGGGGGGGGGCAGCTTACAGGTTCCTCAGTTAAAGACTGGAGCAAAAGGAAGCATCAGGGAGTCCCTGGGTGGTGCAAATAGTTAACATGCTAGGAGGTTATCTCAAAGGTGGGCAGTTCAAGACCACCCAGCTATGCCTCAAAGAAAGCCCTGGGGATCGACCCTCTCTCACTTGGCCCATCTGCTCGGAGCTCACACACAGTTCTAACGGGCAGCACCCCCACCCCAGGCCCCGGGCCCTGCGCAGCACTCACTTGCTGGAGTTCATGGTGTATCCGGAGGGACACTCGGGGACACACTTGTTGTCGAAGATGCCGTACTGGTGGCAGCCCTGCCTCCGCGAATGTTTGCATTTGTTGTGTAGGTCCTGGCAGAAGCTGAAGTTCACACAGCGCCAGTCCTGGAAGTGGTAGTAGGGGGGCGGGCAGGTGTCCACGCAGCGGCCGTCCAGGTAGAAGTGGCGGCAGGCCACGCACTTGGTGGGGTCGTCGGGCTCCAGGCAGTTGCCCAGGCACTCGCTGTGGCAGCAGAGACCCTCGGCCGTGCAGCCTTGCGACTTACAAGCCGTGGGGCAGACTGTGGAGAGAGGAAAGCACAGCTGGTCAGCACCTCTGCTCTGACCACTGGGGGGGAAAGCGAACCCCACTGTTCCCCACCCCCAGCCTGAGTAACCAAGCAAAATCGTAACAATGACAGCCACCATCCACACAGCATGCCCCAAACTCTAGGTACATCTATGAACTCATTTAACCTTCAACAGGGAAACAGTATCCCCATAAATGCCTATAACGGACCGCTGGCTTGATAGAAATCATTTCTGTGACTGCAGGGTAAGGAGTTCAGCTGCCAAATCAAAGGTAGGCAGTTCGAATCCACCAGTTATTTCATGCGTAAAAGTTGGGCAGTCTCTTCCCATGTGATATATAGCTGTTGTCGGATGAGGACAAAGAGAGAGACAGGGACACCAAGGACGGAGAAAAGCAAGAGAGAGCAGAAAGGCAGGGGGCGAACAGCTCAAAGGCTGAAGCCCAGAACCTACCTTCCCTGAGTCACCAGGAAGTAAATCACAAAGAGAATTATTTTGCAAATGAAACGGAGTTTTTCTCTATGGTCAACCTTATGCTTGGCTCAGGAGGGAGGGGCTGGCAAAAATAATCCAAGAATCATGAAGAGGAGACTTGAAGGTTTGCCTTGGTGCTTGACCCCTGTGACTTGTCTCCGGAGGAATTCCAGCTTGAATTTGCACCTCCCTTAAATCCTGATACAGCATTTGGTTTATCATTTAGATTAATATTTAGTTTGCTATTTGGCTTCCATGGGGTCGCTCTGAGGCAGAATCAACTCAACTCCCAACAGGTCAGGGTTTTAAAAGGATGCTGACCTGTATAGGATTCACTACCATGCCTAGTTTCAAATTGTTAATCACAAATCCTATTACTGACGTTCGATTTGTTGTGGCCTGTGTGTTGCTCTGACGCTGGACACTATGCCATGTCACCAGTATTTTAAATGCCAGCAGGGTCATCTATGGTGGACAGGTTTCAAGGTTGCTTCCAGACTAAGAAAGACTGGGAAGAGAGGACTCGGGTTCTGCTTTCAAATATTAACCAGTAAAACTCTTCTCATTCACAACAGAGTATCACCACGTAGGGCTAGAAGATAAGCTCCCGGTTTGGAAGGTACAAAAACCACACAGAGGCTGCAACAGAGGACTGAGCAGAGCAGTGTAGGGGAAGACGGCCTTGGACTTGGCGAAAGGCTTTGCTCAGCTGTGCCCGGGGTCCCTGCACATCATAGCCAACTCCATAGCAACCAAGAACCATGACCTGAGGCCATCAAACCCAGAGCTGGCAAAAGATACAGAGTTGCACCACCATCATTTAGTATTCTCACCACATAGATACAATGTAGTTTGCTGTTAGGTGTCATTGAGTGCACTCTGATTCATAGCCACCCAGTAAGCACATCAGAATCTTGCCCTATCCTGCACCTCTGATATAATCTCCAAACAAGGCTCAAGTCCATCACTGCTGTGTCAACCCATCTTGTTGAAGGTCTTCCTCTCTTTCACTGACAATACAATAGAAGCAAAGAACCCTCAAAGTATAATTAAAAGCAAAATATAAA